TACGTTACATAAGTCTAAAAAGGCTAATCTAATCTTGCCTTCATTTCAAAATCTCTCTTTATATAAAACGGCCAGTGGATAACGACAGATGTCTTTTTAATTATTAACTTGAATGTTTTAATCTTCAATCCATCAATTTTCACTATGTTTAACAACAAAATAGCAGCTTCTGATTTCGAAAAACTTTTATTTTTTATCTCTGAAGATTATTTTACTTATTTTCTACACTCTATTATCAGTTGTCAATTCACCCAGTCTATAATAACTTTTAACACAAAAACATTTTATCCAGGTAAATATTACGTGGCATGATGTGTTTCTAAGAGTGAATTTAAGTAAGGACGTCTCCGTAGCACCTGCGCCATTCCTGAAAAAAATCATATTTGAGTTGTTTTTTAATCGAAAACACGAAGGTCTGGCTAAGGTGGCTCGAGCGTGGGAAACAGGCTGATTTGGTTTCAAATCGCTCTTTCTCATGTGTCCTAGTTATGAATTTTAATGTGAATTTGATTGTGTTAGAAAAATGAAAGAGTGGACCTTTGTTTGGTTTAGAATTTTGGACGTGGATTTGTTTGGATTAAAATAGATCGGTGAATAGATCTGGTTCATAAGAATCCGTGACTAAGAAATATATGAGATATTTGGTCAATCTGGGTTCATAAGAAACTCGCTATACGTTAATTGCTGGTTGAGGGTGAGGGCAGCAAAGGTGAGGACGACGAGTGTGGGATGGATAGGGAGGGAAAAGATCAGAAAATATTTTGGTTTTTTTTTTTTTTTTTTTTTTTTTTTTTTTTTTTTTTTTTTTTTTTTTTTTCCCCTCTAATTGGATTTGGTGTATTTTTTGTTTTTTAAAATATTTTAATTTTTTTAAGAAAATCTTTTTTATATTTAAAATTTTAGTTAATTAAATAAAAAGTGTAAAAGAGACATTTTATATATTAAAAAGGTCTTAGGGTACTTAAAAGATGTTTTTCAAAACATAATGATACCGTATTAATATTATCAAAAACACAGAGTTATATTTTATCCTATTTAAACATAACAATTTTTTTAAGATACGTTGACAATAACAATATTTTTCTTTTTTTTTTTCCTTTTTGAAGTATACACCTCGTCCCACATTGTAATATTGTCCTTTTTATTCGATATAAGTACATGACTCAAAGCGAACATGAAAAGAGACAAAATCTCATCATTAATTTTCTTTGAGATCTTCACAAGAGATCAACTTTTGGAAGTATACATCCGTACCAACATTTAAATATTGTCGAACTTGCTCATACTTGGTACCATACCCAAGCAAAATTGATCTTTATGTGCCTAGACGAAAATGAATTAAATCTAACTTGAGGAATCGCTTCAAGATCCGATCCACTTGTTTCTTTCGCCAACAATCTCTCTTCCCCGCATTTCCTGTGTCAATCAATTTTCAAGCAATTCATTTCCGACAATTGCTTGGTTGACTATTTATAGTTAAGGTAAGAAGACAACATGTTAATAATACTGGTGATTATAATAGTAATCCTCGTGTGTTACGCTCCAAACACGAGTCGGTGATGTAGAGACTTGTTTAGAAATAAAGTATAGATTAAAAAAGTAATTAAGCGAAAGTAAAGGTCAAAGATAGTATAAATATAAGAATTTCTAAATAAATCTCATTATTTTTAAGGAAATTAGGTTTTAAGAAAAGAGTGAAGCGGACTTTACAAAACCACAATCACTGTTAAAATCAATATAAAAAGTCAGCCTCTGACATCCACAAAATTTTCACATTGTGCATACATAAATAAATACATAAATGCAATAAGCTGATATCAACCACAGTCTAATAAAGTTTAAAGTTTACAATCTATAGTTTATACATGCCTCAGTAATGAACGGAAATGAAGGAAACACTTCACAGCTTCCTCTCTTCTTGAATGGAATTCCTCACTAGTACTCACCACCTATTCAGTGCTACTCCTAGCGTCGCTTAGGAGGAGTTTAAATACATTTAAAACATAGAAAAGTGAATGAAAAGTCTAGTAAGATATAATTTTAATAAGAGATTTAAAAATTAAAAATACTCACGGTCCGAAGACATACACTCAGAACCGATTGTCCTTTAAAAAAAGAAAATACTCACGTAATAGTAGCAAGATATCTGGATAATGAAAATATGCAAAGTCATAATATCAACACTAATCAAGAAGTGGCCCCCGTACGGGTTTTGAGACTTGTCCCCAAGGATACGATTCCCATATCCCGATCTCTGTGGCCATCATGTGTTTTATTATTGCTTAAAATATCTCATTTTAAGAAAATATTCATATAAATATCCCCTAAAACCTCATTTAAGACAATGAGAGTTTAATAGCATAAGTCATGCTATTTCCTCAAAATAATTTTTCTTTAAACATGTTTTGTTTTTAAAATATTTTAATAGGCCAAAATCATTTCAATCATGACTATCAAGGATATAGACAAGAATATCTTTTCTCTTAGATGTCAAACCTGTGGCTAGCCTTTCCTCAAAGCTTTTAATCCGATCCTTCAACTAGCATTGTTATAAGCTAACGTTTTAGGATATAATCCTCATTCTTAAAACAAATCAATTTTAATTATGTCTAACTGTTTCTTATTAATGTGCATTGACTAAATCTAAGTTTTAACAAACAACTTTACAATTCAATTTGGGGTTCTTTAAAATTGAATTTCAATCCATTAGTTTGGTTTTCCTTCTTTTGAATTGCGGCTTAAAATGAGTTTTTAAAGAAATTTCGACAACATGCCAATAGAAATGAGAAAAATGTTAAAACTACAATTTAAGTTCAATTCCAAAACAAATCCTCCAGAAATCATTAAAATCAGTTTCTAATCACTTTAATAAGTTCAATAACTAAAAATCCATAAATTAAATCTGATTCTAACAACAATTTATCTAAATCTAAACCCTAATTTAAAATTTATCAAATCTAATAAAAATTACAAATTCTCAAGTTAATAATTTAAATTAAAGAGTGGGTTTCAAGGGGTTTTACCTCAAATTTGTTGATGGGGCGTTCTCTATCTTTTCTCTTTTGTTTTTCTTTCTTTCTTGTTGTTCGGCCGGAACAGCCCAAGGAGAGAGAGAGAGGAGAAGAAGAGAGAGAGAGAGAAAGGGCCGGGAAAGAGAGAGCCGGAGGAGGGGAGAGGGAATGGTGGCTGGCGGTGGAGGGAGAGGGGGTGAGTGGAAAAATTAATATTAGGTACATTAATAAATTATAATTAATATAATTAAACTTATTTAAATTTTTAGGTTGTTACATTGTGAGACCTTGTTGGTTATGCATAATTATAACAAGGAGGCATATCTGCCGTCATAGCAATAATGGTTGTGGCATTTCATCTTATATAATTTATAAAATTTACTACAAAACACGAAACTATTGCCCTAAAATATGAGTAAAATAATTTTAACAAGCTAACCGATGGTGGTGGTATAGTCACAAAAGATGATCTATTAAGATTTTCTCCTATCATTTAAGGATTAATTCTCATTGTTTGTTGTGAGGCTATAATTATGCCTCTTATTAGATTGTCAAATATAACTTGGGTTGATGTGACTTTAGACTCCCCAAATGTTAGTTGATGAAATGATGAGCCATAACTCGTTTTATTCCACCAATTATCTCAATAGATTGTCAAGTGACTCTTTAATTATATTTTAATGTAAAATTGTATATCCTTGTGGGGAGATACGAAAATGTAATGTATGAAAAGAGTCTAAGCAAATGTAACATTAGTCATATTTGGACGTGAAAATTGGACATAGTTAATGGACAGACGATTCGATTGCCTATATATACTTGTTTACTCACATTTGAAGCAGCAAAAACAAAACAAACAAAAAAAAGTAATAAAATGTTTAAATCTAGTATCCATTTTTTCTTATGTACACATTTATCAAATGTATTTTTCTCGGTCATTTGTGATCTCTCTCTCAAGGAAATGTTTCTTGTCCTATTTCCGATGGAAATTCAAGAGTAACTACATCACGTTTGTGGCTTAAGGATTCACAAAGGTTGATACGATAATTCAGTATAGAAAGTATACGTAATTAGGCTCTGTCCACATTGGGTAAGTATGAGCCTAATAATTAAGCACGAGGTGCCTAACCCAGTGTGTGAAAAATGCTCAATATATATATATATATATATTAATTTTATGAATTTTTTGTTATGATTTTTTTTTTTTCTATAGTTGTAAATGATACATAGAGCAAGAAAGGAGTTAGGGAGGAGGGTCTTAATTCATTATTCATCCATCTTTCTACCGTAACCAATACTTAGCAGTGGGCAGTGGGCAGGTTTAGTATCACAATAAGGGGTGCAACAGACACATTATCCCTCTATAGAAACTCAAATTTGTCAATGTTACACATATTGTGTGTTAGGATTACATTTTGTCTAAGTATTACATTTATTAACTTACATTGGTAACCACGTTGCAAAATTATTCTGTTCTAAGCTCCGATCACGTACATTTCATTTTGAGATGATTTGTTATTTCAAATTAATTTAAGACGACAAATTCAGGGATTGATTAAGAGTTTCAAGCCAGGAATTCTTTAGCCAAGCAAAGACCTCCTATTTCAACTTTCCCGGCTTCAATATTTTTTTAACACTTTCCTCACGCAAAAACTATGGTAAATTTTAATTGGAATTTCCTGTTTCAACAAACCTTTTTGGGTTGCACTTTATTCTTGTTCTCTTTGATTTCAGCTCCCAGTTGAACATTCTAACCTGATTCAGAATTGATCGCAGTTACAGAGACAACTTCAGAGCCTTTGAGTAGGTTTTTCTTTTTATAAATACATCCTTTGTTGTAAATGGTCAGACTATTATAGGGAAAGTAATATCTAATCATTTAATCATTTAAATACAATAAAAGTATGAATCACCAATCATCTATTTATCCCAAGCTGTTCAGCATTTTCCTGCTTAATGATCACAACTAGCAACCTCAACACCTAAATGGAAAAACAAAGAAGCACAACTAAAATTTTTTATTATTATGGAAGTAATAACATTGCTACGGCATCGCCACAAAAATACAAACACAACATACGTACTCACAGGAATATAATAATTTATCAAATCACAAATATGTGGTCGCCAATGTTCTGTTCCCAAGTTTACCTGGCTAGATTCGAAACACGTCCGTTTGGAATCTCTCATCATATAGCCTCCAGTGACCATACCTTTCCGTGTGAAAAACCGACCTAGGGATGTAAAAGTTTGGCCTTTTTATCTCCTTCAAGTTCTTCAGATTGCTTGATGCATTTGCGATATCCCTACTGGTTAAGTTCGCACACCCGAATAAATCCAGGTACTTGAGATTCAAACACCCTTCAGATATTGAAATAAGTCCTTTAGCTGATAACTTGGAGAACCGAAGTTCAAGGTGCTCCAAATGAGGCATGGATTTCCCGATTGCAGCGGCTTCCGCATCCCCATCTTGAGGGCAAGCATTAAGATACTCGTCTGGGACAATTCCAACATGTTGGGAAGGATCTAACCAGTTCATCAAGTTCCGTTTCAAGAACTTAAGGTTCGGACAATTCGTTCCAATCAACGCCAACGACTCGTGAGATATTTCATAGCTGTAGCTAATGTCAAGCTCCTTGAGCATGGGACACCGGAAAGCAATTGTAGCCATGGATACATCAGTAACATTTGGGCAGCTCTTGATTGAAAGAACCTCAAGAATCCGACACCTATAAAAGAATTGCAAGGACAAATATTGAGTTGCGGAATTTAGCTTCCATAAAACCAACAAATGACCAAAACAACCTACCAGCGCTACAAAAGAAGGTTGCCACGCCCAACTTCCTCATTTTAACATTAAGCTATATATAAATGTTATTTGATAGTTGCCTAAGCCGATGCTTGAAAATGAAGTTCATCTAAAACCCACAACAAAACAACCAACTAGAAAAGCTCCAACCTTGGAAACAAGGTTCTAATAGAGTTCGAACATCTCATAGCCAACTGGAGGTTCAAATACAATTTTAGGCCTCGTTCGTTTTGCTGATTTGAGTTTAGAATTCGAGTTGAGATGTGATTTTATGTGAGAGCTTTTTACTGTAGCAAAAAAGTTAGATGTGACTATTTATGAGAGCTTTTTACTGTAGCAAAACTCGAATTCTAAACTCGAATCAGCGAAACGAACGAGGCCTTAGTAAACTAAACTGGTTAGTTAAACGCCGACTTCGACATAGAAGGATTAGTGGCAAAATTTGACGACACAATACATGTAACTGGCGTTACCCAGTTTCACCTCCAAAATCCTAATTCAAATAAATTTTATGCTACAAAAAGCATGCAGAATACCAGAGCAAGGTAGGCCCCTCTTTTTCAGTTCTTAACATAACAGACCTCAACAATTGGTTTAACAGGACCTAGCAGAACTTAAGATGGGAAAGCCATGAACCTTGGCTCAGAAAAGCAGTTTATTACCTTCAAGGTCTCTTGTGAATCTGTTGTCACTACCTATAAGCAAGTTATGACCCAGTGCAACTCTTTTTCCTCCACACTCTAACTAAAAGAAGGTCTAATATACAAGAAGCTCTAAAATAAAATAACAAACCATAAATGCTCAAACCTTAAACGCACAGTTACAATAGACCTCCAACACAACATAAGGTTCTAGCCATGTTGAGGTTGAAACCTGAAAGATGATATTTTTAGCAAACTCATAACTCAACAGTAAAAAATCGAAGACTTCCAACTCTTCTAGGAAAAGGAATCAGAGGATAATTTTCACCCTCACAACATGTATCCGTCATTACTCAATTTATCCTCAAAATGCCACCTAAAATCTAAAAATTTCAGAATAAACATTTTCAGAAATGGCGCCATTTATTAGTTCATGTTTCAATAAATAAAAAGTATATTTCACATACATGTACCATTTTTTGAAACACTAGTCAAATGACAAATGAAACTTTGATTTACTGAGTAAATTAATGATTTATTTTGAAAACTCATTGTCATATATAGTAAACTTTAAATTTGTGATAATCTGTTCTTTTTAATTTAAAATTGTTGATTCGCTTTCTCCTTTTTTTACAGTTTTTACCTTTAATATTCATTTTTCCCCATACTAAAGCAATTGTTTTTTTTTTCCCCGATACAGAAAGCAATTGGAATTTAGAATGTTAGATATCTGCTTCTGTTTTCTCTCTCCCCTCTCTCTTGCTCTCTTTTATTCTTGACGTCCCTCACTTCTTTGCTCTCTCTCTCTCTCTCTCTCTCTCTCTCTCTCTCTCTCTCTCTCTCTCTCTCTCTCTCTCTCTCTCTCTCTCTCTCTCTCTCTCTCTCTCTCTCTCTCTCTCTCTCTCTCTCTCTCTCTCTCTCTCTCTCTCTCTCTCTCTCTCTCTCTCTCTCTCTCTCTCTCTCTCTCTCTCTCTCTCTCTCTCTCTCTCTCTCTCTCTCTCTCTCTCTCTCTCTCTCTCTCTCTCTCTCTCTCTCTCTCTCTCTCTCTCTCTCTCTCTCTCTCTCTCTCTCTCTCTCTCTCTCTCTCTCTCTCTCTCTCTCTCTCTCTCTCTCTCTCTCTCTCTCTCTCTCTCTCTCTCTCTCTCTCCTTGCTACTAGCATTGTCGAAGTCCACCACTAACATCAGTACATCAATACTCTCTCTAATTTTTTATAAAAACAAAATTAATAATCCAAGCTTCTTAGATTCTAAATTAAAAGCGCAGATTATGGCAGGTAAATAAAAAATTCACTGTAATCACAATTTATCAAAGTAAATTTAACAATATTTATGAAGGAATGAGTCATCATTTGCCTATTAAAGCTTGAAAGAACAAACATTGTTTAAAAATCTGAAAATGCGTACATTTATTTGAACATTAGGTTAGTATTGGACCATTTCTGCTCATTATTCCTAAAAAATAAGGCCAAAAACCACTTTTTCATATGATCAACACCTGACATCACAAAACGGCAAACAAAATTCTCGATTACTCATAACACGATTACTTTTCAATCACACAACAAAAAATTCCAAATATCCAGCACAAATCTAAATTCAAACCCAAATTTACTCTTTTCCAAGATCGCAGCACCCAAAAAAAAAAAAAAGGAGGAAAAATCTTAAGAGTTCATTTCCAATTTCCAAATCGGTAATGCTTTTCAGTCACAAACACTAAGATCCAAATTTCAGACCCAAACAAAAGAACAAAAAACAAGTATTTTCTTCAATCAACGCCAAAAATCGCAGCAAAACAAACAAATTTCACCACACAACTGGAGAAGCAAAATTATCGGAGCAAAAACAAGATCAGATCATGACAGATTTTCCAATTCGCTCGTACCTTTCAGCGGCGAAAGAGAGGGCACCATTAGAGCAGTGCCTGGTGCGAATCCTTGTGATCGAGCCGTCGCTCCACTCGACGACGGATCGGAGCATAGAATCGACCTTGCGCTCGAACTCGGGGGACCACCAGCGAGGCGACTCGGCCTCCGAGTTGAACCGAGTCTCGAGATCGAAGGAGGCGTGGAGAGAGGGATCCTTGCAGGCGTTGAGCCACGACTTGCAGGCGAGCATGGGGCCCCGCCATCGGTGCACGAGGCTGAGCCGAGCGAGGATGTCGATGAGGCACTCGTGAGTCAACTCGGCCCAGTCGCGACTCGGCCATGACTCGGTCTCGTCGTCTTCGGTTTTTTTCTCCATGGGTCCGGTGGTTGGAGGAAAGGGAGAGCTAGCTAGTTCGGTTTCCGTTGTTGAACTTTGTTGACGTGGCCATTGGATAAGGAATGGACAATCTGGTCATTATATAGAAAGCTGTCACGTGGCATAAGCGTGGCTCTCTCAAAAATTGCCGCACCTGGAATTATTATTTTTTTTCCTATCGTTTTCGGTATCTGAATTTTAACTTGATCTCTAAAAAAAAAAAAAAAAAATTTAAAAGTATCTCTCAGTTTTGTTTAAATATAACTTTTATTTTTTAGTTTTTTAAAATTCAATAAGTATTTTTTGTGTTTTTAAAAACAGACAAAAAGTATTCATTCTTTTAATTTTTTTAAAATGACAAAGTTATCTTTAATTATTCAATACAATATTTAAATTTGTGCTGGGCTATATTAACTTTTAAACAGCTATTTTAGATTTTTTATTTTTTGAAATAGCTCTTTTATGAAATTTACAGTCCTAATTTAAACAAGTATTTTTTTTAAATTTAAGAAAAAAGTGAAATCTTTAAAGAAAAAGATGTAAATTTTTGTCACGTAGTAGTATTAGACAATTCTAACAAGTTAGTTTATTACACACTATAAATTACACTTTAACCTCAAATTGATAAATAAATTCGTCATGTTTTACCAAATAGAATTTCAAAAAAAAAAAAAAAGTACATCTTTTTTTCAAAAAAGATTTCACTTTCTTATTAAAATAAAAAAAGAAAAAAAGAGTATTCAAATTGGTGCTGTGAATTTTCAAAGAGGTTTACTTCTAAAAAAAAAGAAATCTAATAAAGGCTCTTAAAAAGTTGGTATAACCTAGCATAAATTTAGACAATATATAAGATATCTAAGAATAATTTAGCTATTTTAAAAAAAATTAAACTTAAAAAGTTAAAAGAAATGATACTTTTTGTAGGGATTGAAAAATACATAAGTTACTTTTTAGATTTTAAGGGCTCGTTCATTTTACCGATTCGAGTTTTCAGTTTTAAATTTCTACAGTAAAAAGCTCTCAGAAAATGTCACATTTAACTTTTTATGCTACAGTGAAAAGCTCTCAGAAAATATCACATCTTAGCTTGAATTGAAAACTCGAATCCGCGAAGTGAACGATGCCTAAAAAACTCAAAAATAAAAGTTGTATTTAGACAAAATTAAAGAGATACTTTTTGAATTTTTAAAAAACAAAAAACAAAAAAAAGCCTTAAAAGAAAAAAAAAAAAAAAAAAAAAAAAAAAAAACAAAGTCACAACTTGTAAGATGTAACATCATTTTGCCGCACCATGAAAACTTTTTCTCCTCTCATTATTTTCCCCTTTTTTAGCATTATTTGTCATCGTGAAGGATTTTTATGCATTTCTTAAAATTCTTATTATTTGTTAATTTTTTTTAAAATTTTTCAAGGCGCAAAAAGAGAGGGTGCATTCTGGAGTCGAGGGTGCATTCTGGAGTTGGTGGTCCAGTTTTTTATGCTAGCTGCCATCCTCCAAGGATGATGTGAGAGCTCATAGATTTATAATTTCATGCTTCAATAAAGTTAATAATTAATTAAATTTTTTTAATTAATTAATTAATTTTAAAAGTTATTCCACTAAAAATTTAGAATTGCACTCTTAAAATTACAGACATAAGTACCTCTAAGAATTTAAAGTGTCTTTTTGATATAATCACTACATATAGATCAATCTCCCATAAATAAATCATAATTAGAGCTCGGTGAAATCCGTTAACATCTCCAATTACATCTTTAAACTTGAGTACCATTGATTTCTCTAATCAATAGCGATTCATAAAATAAACTCATAAATCAGAACTCCTACTAATCCAAGTACCTAATCAACCCTTAAGAGAATTATTTATCTATTTTTTTATTCAAGAAAGAATGGATTCCATTTCATATATTAGCATTCCCAACTACCCACTTCATCATGTCTCCAAGATACATGGAATAAGATTTAGCAATATCGAAATCTGTACCGAGTAAGTCAAAAGACACAAATCCATAAATAGAAGTTTGTTAATAACTCAAGATTAAGATCGTTCTATATATGACCATCGGTAGACTCAATTTGAATTTCTATACTTAATGAAAATTATCAGAAATTCAAATTGTGTCTGTGTAATCACATTTTGTGTAATATACTCATCCAATATCCATCCATATTAACAGTGCGAATAACACCGTTTCATTCTTAATGGGAATGAAATGTATTAGTAATGTTTTAATTAAAGATTCTGAAATTTTAATTAAATTCATTACGAACACATTTCAATTATTATCCTTAAATATTATTCTCATATATAACTCTTATTTATAATATTTAAAACTTCATAAATAATCATAGAATTTTCAATAATATTTATAAAGTATTCAAAAATACATACATATAAATAATGAAATTTCTTATAGTAAATTGCACAGATAGCTCCTAAATTTTTTAGTAAGTGACAGTTTAATTTCTAATATTTTTTTTGACAAAACGACTTTCAAACTCTTTAAAAGGTAATAATTTAATCATTTTTGTCAAATTTTGTTAAATTTTTAACAGAACATTTCACTTGAGTCATGTGACGCATAGGGCTTTCTGTGATGCATTGACGGAAGAAAGCGCAAAAAATCAGAATAATCAGCCACCGAATCCTCCTCAGGACCAAGTACAAGCTCAAAATCAAACAACTAGGAAGTTGAATTCAGAATCGGAGCCAAAAGTTCAGAAGAAAAATTCATCATCTCCACCACCACCAAAATCAAAAGAGGTTCCATCTTCATTAACCTCTGTTCAATCTGGTCCTTCACAATCAACTGGGGTAATATCGTCATCCACTTTGCCTATCCAAACCCCAGGTGAATATGATTTTGACCCAAGTTTGAAATTTTTTCTCCCCCTTTTTCAATCTCTTCAGTTTTGTTTTTGTTTCTTCTTGTGTTGAAATGTAACATTCTTTTTTATATTTATATTTTATTTTTTGGCGTTCCCTCTTTCCTTGTATTTGGAGTCTAGTTGTTTTTATCTGTAACTGATCTCTGTTGAACCTTGTTAATGCTATAATTGTTTGTTCAGAGATTGAAGAACGGGCCGGTCCGGCCCAACCTGACCCGTTATCTTTAGGCTCACACGGGCCGTGGGTTGAGCTGGACTAGTCCACAAAACTTATGGGCCGGGCCGGACTAATCTGTATAAGAATTATCTCGGTCCAGCTCACACCACATGTCAATTTTACGTGGGTGAAGATGGGTTGTGTCATGGGTCAGGATGGACTGGCCCATTCAAGGCCCATCTTGACCCGTCATGGGTTTAGATGAGCCAGCCCATCTAAGCATGTAATTTTTATTTTTTATTTTTTTAAACAAATTAACAAATATAAAAGTTTGAATAGCCAATGGAAACATGAAAAGGGATATTTTATTTACGATTGTCTCATTAAATAAAAACCTCTCTAAGGAAAACCTAGTGAGACAAAACCTTGGTAAGAAAAAAAGAGTACAATCATGATAATTATACATAAGATGTTTACAAAATTACTAAACAAAAAAAACATGATGATATTATGGACTTAGATGGGCTGGCCCATTATGGGCTTAGACGGGCCGAGCTGGGCCGGCCCATCATGAGCCTAGACGGGCCGGCCTAGCCCATGATTTTTCATGGGCCATATTGGGCTGGCCCATGGGTCGATATATGTTGGCCCAGCCCAGCCCTCTAATATTTATGGGCTGGGTCGTACTTTGAATAGTGACGGACAGTGCCGGTCCGACCTGCCACTGTGTCAGGATGGGCCTGGGCTGGCCCGTGACCCATTGTTACATCTCTATGTTTGTTTACTTGCTAAACGGAGATTTGGGGTTGATTAGAGATTTATGAAAAATAATAGCTACGAGGCGCATTTAAGTTATTTTACTGAAAAAAGGAGTCACATGATGGGTCACGTGACATGTTCTGTTTAAAAATTAACAGAATTTGATAGAAAGGGCCAAACTGTCACTTTTTAGAGAATTTGGGGATCGTTTTGTAAAAAAAAAAAAAGATTAGGTACTAAACTGTCACTTACTAAAGAGTTTGGAGACCATTTGTGTAATTTAGCTAATTTCTCATTTATCAAATAAATAACAATATCATTTATTACATCTCATACTTTTAAGACAGCATTCTCAACAAGAAATAAATGTTCTTCAATCTTCATGGATCTTCCTAAATTAGGCGTGCTACATTTCACCCACCAACAATGATACCACCATGTGCGCTGGCCTATCTGAGTCATACTTGATATCTCAAAATAACGTAAAAATGCCATGTTTATTTTGTATAGTTTAAAGAATGGGCGCAACATGTTCTTCAGTCGTTTGTAGGGGCAATAACGTAAAAATGCCATGTTTAAAAATATGTAAATGTACAATTAGCAACAACAATGTATATTTCTTGTCCAAACATGTATCCCTTTTCTAAATAAGTACAGAAATGATGTACAAGTGTGTAAATTGATTGAAAATGTGGTTGTTCATTTAACGTAAATGTATTGTCGTTTGTCATTTAGAGAGTCAACAAACGTGTTAACATAATTTTAAATCTCATGGTTTATAAGTATCCGAATTACTGAGTAGTTGTGTCTTGTAAGAAGCAGGTATGCACAAGCGAGGGCAACAAAATAAGATGAGTGAACAAATATGGAGGATGGAATTAGTAATTGAAGACAAGTCTTTAAGCATACAGTGATATATAAACCCAAGACAGCATAACACAGATAAGTAATTGATTTGCTGTAAACATTGGGTTGATTAGAGGTGCTTACTAGACTGGAGCAATTCGTTCCCTAAATGTATGACTACGAGGAAACCTGTCTCGCGTAAATTGGCTGCCCCTTGTTCCCCAACCAAGCGCTCAGCAATGCGTCGTAAGATAATTCCACAGTCTGGATCGAAGGCAGACTCGCATGAATTTTTTCTTCTCTGCCCAATCACTTTTTGTCACAAAATTAATTTCGCTTATACGGAGAGACGAAAACTTATTGTGCGCTTGGAATTCGTTTCAAAATGATTTTATTTTTTATATGCAA